CCTCCCATTTGACTTCCTTGGGTATAGTTGTATGAGGGCTGCCTTTAGCCTCAGCTTGCTCCTTTTGAGCCAGCTTCACCCAGCTAGAACCAGACTTGGCCATGCTTGTCAGGGAGCCTGGAAATCTCATCACACATTTTCCCAATGGTATCAATTCTACTTTATAGGAAAAGGTACTCCATATTTAAGCCCAGGGTCTGAGTTCAACATTCATCCATGGAGCATACAACAAGGATATTTCAGTCTCAAGTACCTTTTAATACCCTATAGGGCCCTTTGTAAGACATTGTTATATTATAGTGGTATAGGAATACCTGTCAAATCATACCCTAAGAAATAAAAGATATGCATTAAAAAGCCCAAGGACCATTTTCTACATGCATTACACATGTCAGGAATTGTGGATGATACATTTACCACATTAATTCCTAGCAGTGGCATTTTCAGTGGCTCCCAAAATGTTTTATTTTTATATTATATTTATTTAATTATTGGGTATGTATTTGTATGTATGTATGTGGTTATGCCTATTCCACAATGCATGTGTAGAGCTCAGAGGACAACTTGTGAACACTGATTCTCTCCTCCTGCCGTGTGGCTCCCAGGGATCAAACTCAGGCGGCTGAGCCAGCTTGCCAGCCCCAATATATGTTTTCTAGTGGAAAACTTCATTTCTTTTTTTTTTTTTCCTAGTTCACTGAAATTACATATATAAAATGCCAAGGGATTTCTTTTTTTTCCAGTTAATTTTTTATTTAATAACAACCTACTTAGAAGAAGCATTTCATTACAACATCATTGACATATTCAATAACAATTTTCTGAGCTAAGATGTATCTTTTTCAAAATTGGCTGTAAATTTTTAGTTTTACAGTTGAATTGTTACAGTTATACAATATTCTTTTTTAAAATTTTTACAAAAATTTTATTGAGAATTTCATACATACATATAAGGTGTTTTGATCAGGTCTACCACCTACCTATTCTGTAACTTTAAACAGTGTTTGTTTCTCAGCATTAGTCCATTGTTTCTTTGGGGTCTTTTTACCCTAACTGCCTAGCCAGTTCCTACCTCCTAGTCTTATCACGCCATCCTCTGAAGGGGCTACCCAAACTGCCAATAGAGAATAGGGACGCCGACTGCTCTTATTTTTAAAAATTTTTTACATGTATGAGTGTATTGCCTGCATGTAGGTAGGTGTATCCGTGTCATGAAATGCCTGCAGGGATCAGAAAGGGGTATCAGATCCCCTGCAACTAGAGTTTCACACAGGTGTAAGCTGCCATGTGGGTGCTGGGAATCAAATCCAGTGTCCTCTGCAAGCGCAGTCAGGGCTCTTAACCGCTGAGCTATCTTTCTAGCCCTGAGAACTTATTTCTGAACACAGCACCTCCTGCCCCCACTCATAAAGCCATGTTTGCATGCTGTCTCCCTTCTGTGAGATGATAAGCTTACTCCTCTGCTAGTACCTTCCTTATCTAGAAGGAGTATTAGTTTTATACTAAAGGGAAACCCAGTGGGTGTTGAATGACATTCCCTGGTTTTTAATGTACAGCCAATAGCCAAGCCATGGCCTAATGATTATTAATTATCACACTCAGGTGTGAAGACTAATCATGTGTGTTTTGTAAATAAGTGAAGGGGTGGAGGGGACAAGGGGGTGGTGGGAACACGGTGAACTGGCAAGTATACACCTGATCCACGGTGCATGGCTACATTTCTGCTTCAGCTGATTATTACTGTGCAGAAATGTTAGTTCATCATTGCCAGAACTGTTAGATTTTCAAGGAAAGTTACAAACAGGGATATTTTAACTGTGAAATCTGACTTTTAAGTGCTGGCAACTAAGTAAAAATTCAAAAAAAAAAAAAAATAAAGGTGCATTTGTCTAGGATGGGAGCCCAAGGAACAGAGGAAGAAACTGAGAGATTGATTGATTGATTGATTGATTGATTGATTGATTGATTCTAGGACTATACATGGCCTATGGGTAGCCTTACTAGCTCAAATTATAGAAGGAAAGGTGTGTTTTAAGCAATCCAGTTTGCAGCCAGCAAGGCTGAGATTTGAGACTCACCCACTTGAGTCATCACCTCCAAACTTTTATTGAATTTGATGACAAGAGAAGAAAGAACTTAGATTCAAAAGAGCAATTGCCTTACCAGGAGTAAAGACCCAGAACAAAGCAATTATAACCATATCCCAGAGACTCTGAGAACTGCTTAGTGAACCCTTTCCCCTGGCTGTGGAGGGACCATACCTAGGCAGACAATGAAGCAAGAGGCGTTTGTCTAGGAGGAGCTTTTCTTCAGTGCAGTGAACAATTCTCTTTACCCTTGTTCACACAGTGGTTAGGTAAGGACACTGGACAGAGTTCCCCGGGCACTGTGCTCAGCTCTCCCACCCTTTCTGTGATCACCACTGTGCTCGACTCTTCCTTCCAGATTCCTTACTGCCTCTTGAAAATGGTTAATTCTTATTCTTCTTAGGCTGAACTTCCAGAAATAATATCCAAATGGGGTTTTAATGTCTAGACAGAATTTGGGATTCCTTACTGGAAAGTCTTGTCCATTCATCATGTTACTGTGAGGGTGGTGGGGACCCAGGGAAAAGCTGGCCTTGTACATGCCAGGTGAAAGGAATGGTATAGTATCAGGAGACTGTGTGGATTCCCAGCCAGATAAGCTGTTTGTGAGGAAAGGAAATGCCAGCCCTCTGCTGAAGGCTTACTGGCGGGGCCAGTCTCCTCTCCAATGGCAAATGTTCTTGTAACCACTGCTTTGATTGTCTAACACCTCCTCCTGGGTACTGGTTTTCAGAAAGGGACCTTATTTCCAGGAAGGTCATTTCAAGGACTTTGGAGTTAGAAAGATCTGGATTCCAATTCAAACTGCCACAAAATAACCTTGGGGATTTTTGAAACTAGGATTGAATTAATACCACCCACTTTTGAGGTTGCTGGGGGATATTCAATTAGCTGTACATAGTACGCAGTGCCTGGCATGATGATGAATCTTTGGACTCTAGAGTGATCAGTGGTATATCTGATGATAGGGGTTTGCTGGGAGGCTCTTTCATCATCCTAGGTCTGCTGGAAACATGGCTCAATAACATTTTAATCCTCAGGAAAGGTGGGCGACTATAGCAAGAATGCACTCTGCCTGCTGTAGGGTGGCTCTCTTTCCTGGATTGTCTAGGCCTGTTTCCCTAATAATGAGCTACTAATTCTGGAGTATAGAGTGGTTATCTTGTAGCCACTGTTATGTAAGTGCTTATCATTCCTGTGACCTAACAACTTTAAGCTGACATTACATTTGAAGGGGGAGTAATGGGAAGTAATCCAATGGAGCACTCTCTATATGGTACCTAAAATAACCACATTATGAGTAGGCCAGCTAGCAAAAAGAAGAAGCAGGGACAGGAGAGGTTTTGAGAAACTAAAGTTATATGAAGTAAGTGTGGGCAGGAGACAAGAGAGATGCTGGTTCACTGCGGATGCCAGAAAGCTGGTAGTGCTGGTCAGAGTGCGGGGTTGAAACCTCAGCCAGGGAGAGATGATTGGGGCTTATGCAGTTGTGGGAAAACAGAGATTTGAAATCCTGGGCTTTCTTTGCATTGCACACCCATGGGAACTGGCCTTTCCTTGCTGCAGTGAGGACAGTGGACTTGCCCATGAATATTTAAGCTGCTCTTGGCTCACTGGGGTTGATTCCAATTCCCCATCTTAAGGGCGTTCCATTCTCCTTTTCCCTAGCTTCATCCCTTACAACTCCTTTCCCTTTCCCGAACACATCCTAGAATTTCTGGCAGGCTTCTCAGGAAATGTATGCTTAGACAATCCCTGGAGAGCAGGCTCTGTTCTGAATTACAGAAGGCCCATAAGTTTCTTCATGCTGGATGGCTCTGGGGACAGCTGCTAACAGAAGTTAGTTGTGGGGGTTGGTGGGCCATCAGTGGGCATGGCCTTCTTAGGACGTGCTTGCCTCCTTTTGGTCTTCCTGCTGCCCATTTAGCCTAGTTCCAATGTCTCCTGTGGCCCTGGTCTTCCCTGACCACCTCTGAGCACATGCCTTTTCCTTACTTTTCTGGAGTTGTTATGAGGAAGGGGGAAGGGGCACAGGAGTTTGGAGTGGTGCCTCATATGCTAGCTATCAGACTTTAGCTTTTAGAATCTTGGATGGGCTCCACCTGGGAAAGAGTTCCAGAGAAAACAAACTTTAGATACTGGCTCATATGGTAATGGGTTCATGTTTAAGGAGGCAGCTTTAGGGACCTTGGCAGGGACTTAGGCAGGTTTGGCCCTAGCCTGTAATGGATCTGACATGGTGCCTTCCCTGGCCCATGGATGTGTATGGCCTCTAGAGTTCTCTCTCAGAAGCTGGAATGATACCTCCTCCATAGGAGCTGTGGTCTGAGAGTCTCCATTGAAACAGCAGCTTTTGTTGTTCCAAAGTTTTTTTCCCTGAAAAAAGTGAGAAAGATTTGAAGGAACCTCTCCCACTATCTCATCGTCATCCCTGTCATGTCACTTTCCTCTCGGCCATTAACTGAATTTCTTCTGTGAGACATAAAAAGCCAGAAAAGGGGTTTTGAGTCCAATAGAATCATCTCCCAAGTCATAAAACTCTTCCTCCCCAGCCCAGGAATGGCATACAGAATGATAACAATGGAAATGTTTTGGGTTGCTCAGGCCTAGTAAAGAGATTAATGGACACACAGGTTAAGAAAAGGGTCAGGTAGAATTCATGGTGATGGCAAATATTTCTTCCCTGACTCCAACTTGATCAGTTCAGTAATACCGATATGTGATACTCAGGATAATGAATAGATTTTGTACAAAAAAAAAAAAAAGAATCAGCAAAGCAGTGTGGGTGACAGGTGCTGGGAACACTTGATTTCTGTTTCTGGCATTTTTAACATTTAAGATAACTTCCCCAAGTTTTTGCACTTGGGGTTCAGTACTGACCATTAATACCCCCATATCTGCCTCTTCTGCCAGGGGTCTTTTCAAATATAGACAATCATGGGATATTAAACTTGAAGGACAATAGAGACCATCTAGTCCCATCAACTCACTATATATATGAGGAACCTGAGGTCCAGAGTGGGGATGTGTCTTACCCAAGGACACATGGTGAGTTAACTCCTTTAACATTTTTGTATACAGTAAAGACCCCTCTCCTTACTAGCTTTGATCATTAAGATCCAAAGACTCATAAAACCTCCATGTGTTACTGAAGGCTGGGATATGACTAGTTATCTAGGATGGGATTGGTACTCAAGTCCCTTAGATGAGAGGAATTTCTCTCAGAGAAGGAAGCTTCATAGGGTCTAGGTAAGGCATGTAGCATGAGGGGACCATGGCCTGGGGAGAGGCAGGGGTGTCATAAGTCTTCTTAGCAAGCTGCCCAGGCTTTTGGCTTCCCATCCTTTTTTCTCACATTCCAGCAATGACTTGTTGGGTGTTTAGCACAGAACAGCTATAGCATTCCATGGGAAACTGAGCTTCCCTCTTAATATAATGTCACGAACAAGAGAATAACCTCTATTTTCATAAATCTGACCTCACTCCCTGAAGAAAGAGGTACCATAACATCCCAAACCAGTCATTCCTGTTTTGATCATATTATGGCAGGAGTCTAGGGGAAGTCTCAGTGCAATTGACCTCTGTTTCAGGCTGTCCCAATCATGCATCCCCTAATACTCAATGTCCCATTATGTCCTCTGCATTCCTGCATATGGCTTTCCTAGAAAGGTGGGATTTTTCCATTCACCCACCCCCAACCACTCCCCAACTCTACAGGTATTTTGAAAATCTGGGGTTGATTGAACAATCCCTTTCTGGAGTTTATGAATGCCCATATTTCTGGACATCTAATTCTGTCCCTGGCTATGTGGCCAGAAAGCAAGCAAGCTGTCTTGGAAGCCCTCCCTGCTTGAGGCAGCCCATGACCTTGTGTCCAATGATGCTACTCACTCCTCCATCCCCTGTAAAGTGGGAACTACAGGCTGAGTTCTCAGTCATCATTTCCCAAGCCTTCCATAGCACTGGCGACATAAGGCACAGAGTCAGTGAGAAAGCTTGTAGGCTTGGGTTTATAGTGACCCCAACCTCCTGGTGTGGTTCGAAGTGGTATGAAATTTTAGTTCTTAGAATTAGATCCCTAAGACTGGGTTCTAGAAGAGCATAGCATTCTCCCTGTCTCCTCTGGGAACCCTAGTGTGCACACCCTTCTCCCAGCTCCCCAGAAGCTCATGGTCGGGATCTCTTCTTTCCAGAAACCTGCTCATATAGCAAGACCCCCTTAGATAAGTCTGTTCTACCTCTTCCATGACAGTCCCAGGCCAAACTCCCAAGTTATGCTTGCTTCCCTTCCTCGGTTCAGTGGCAGCTGCAGCAAAATGGAGTGTTTCCAATTTCTCTGACCATGCTTGGTTTTAAGTTACACTCCCACCCCCTTATCCTCCCCTTTTGCTGGCAATTCATTTTAGCTATTCCCAATATATACCTATCTATATCTCTAGATGCACTTTTCAAGTTCCCTCTCTGTTTCCTTCCCTCCTAGTTTTGATCTTCTTTGGGGGTTTTGGTTTTTACTTTATTTTGCTTTTTTCTGTTTTTCTGTTTTTTTTTTCTTTTTGTTTTTTATAGGTTTCAGAGAAATTATGTTGAATCCAATAAGCCTTTCCGGACATTCCAAGCCTCTTAACCATGGTATCTATGTTGAGGATGTCAATGTTTATTTCAGCAAAGGACGTCATGGCTTTTAAAAACTCCTTTTAAGCCTCCTTGTTCTGATGTCACCTTGGTAGGATGGGCCCTCTGAGAGGTTGGAAGCTCTAGGCGTTGTTCTTTTTGGATCCAGGGATGCTAAGTAGAAACTGCATGAACCACCGGTGCTCCCTGCACCCTTTACCACCACTGAGATGGGTATGTCTCCATCCACCACTGGCAGGTTGCCCCTTCCCTCCAGTCATCACTGTGTTCCTTTTTCTGCGGCCTCCGAGGCAGCTCCTGCCAACATCTTTAGAGCCAATAAAGAGAATTAACAACCTGAGCACCAGGAGCCATCTTTTAAACACACTAGCCATTCTCTTGACCCAACCATCACAAGAAAGCCTGATGAAGTCCAGCCGTGCTCCAGCCTCACTTTCCTGCTTGGAAGCGTGGGGTCTCCATGCTGTTCTCTCAGTGATCTCGTCGCCCTGCAGCCTCCAGTGGGGAAGAGTCACAGAGAGCTCCTAAGCAGAGGTGGAGGTGGCACGGTAAGAGGAGGGGGAGCCAGGCCCAAGTATTGCCAACAGATTAGGTCTCAGAGGGAAGAATGGAAGCCAGTCTTTTTTTTTGTTGTTGTTGTGGAGAAAAATACCTTTTTTTAATGGACATATTTGGCCCCTCCTTCCTCTTCTCTCTGGAATGGTTCACAGTGAGTGCGATATTAGAAAGTTCCTTGGAAAGAGATTTTTCCTGACTCCTCCTGGGCCCCTAGAGCTGCAGTTCTGACAAGTTTTGCCTACAGGAGGTCTTGTCCATGAATTGACCATCCTACTAGGACCACAAGGGACCAAGGGAATCAGGGACCAAGGCCCCACCTGCTAGCCCGTGATCCTGGGATTGGCTCTCTCCCCCTACTTCCACTTATTCTTGACTCTGAGAACTTTTGGATCCCAATGGAATCACCATGACAAGGTCAAGATGAACTGAAGGGGAAGAGAAGTAAAACTTGGCCTCCTCCAGCCCCTCTCATGGCACCGATGGAAGTGTCACCCTGTTCTCTGGTCGATATATGTGTTCACTTTGCTTGCTTTCACTCATGCCTTACTCCATAGCCATCCTCTCCCAAAGAGGGGGTTGTCCCTCACCCACTTTCAACTTGACCCTCTGGGGAGAGGGAAGGGGATGACAGTCCCTTGCTTAATAAGAAAGGCAGGGCTTGAAGCTCTGATACCTGAGTATGTTCTGGCTTGGCCCAGCTCTCCCTAGCTCCAGGAGGGTCTCCATTATGGGAAGGAATGTGGAGCACTCTGAGGAGAATTCTTGGGACAACATAAATCATATAACCCAGTATGTTCTGGGGTAGTGTTGCACAGCCATGGAAGGTAGAGACTATGATTTTGGCAAATTTAGCAAATTTACCTGGGAGCTAATGATCCTGGGTCCTGTGGAAAGTAGTTCTTCATGTCAGGTTGCTGGCCTGATGTTAAAGATGCCTCCATGGGGTTTATAAACACGAAGCTTTCCAAGTTCTCACCTGTGACCTGGAGTGTCCTCTGTAATGCCACTTGAGGCTGAGGGTTTCTCCAGGGCCCGGGTGTGTAGTTGTCTAGCCCCTTCCATCTCCCCTCACCCTATTCCTTGTGGCTCCATGTCAGGCTTTTCCCCATCACACCCTGCTGACCCCTTGGGTTCAGTTCTCCTCCCGAGTGTGGCTTTAAGGAGTAAGCTTGAGGATGATGTTTTTAATCGTTGTAAATCATGACCTCATTTCCAGCCTCCAGGCTCCATCCATTCCAGCATCTTTTATTCTGCCATTTCTTCACCTTGTGCTATGACAATGGGGCGTTGTGTTTCCACAGAGACTTATAGGAGTGTTCAGTGTATAGTTTCTTAATAAACACTTTATTTTCTAATGAAATGACTGGATCAGACCTCTTATTTGGAAGATTTGAAAAGAGAATTAAAGCTATAACAATTCCAGGATGCCCACGATTTGTTTCCTGTTTCACTATTACTCTTTCATAGAAGTTTCTTAACACATTAGTTTCTGCTAGTAAAGATGTTTTACAATATGTCCCATTGGTTGGTTTCATGGAGACGTTCCCAGATACATTAGGTTCCTAAAATGCTTCCTCATCTTATTGGGTACTCAGAAAGGTTCAATGGTGGTTCACCAGGATCACATGGCATGAAAGTCAGAAACAATATTGAAACCTGATTCCCATGGTCACTACTAGAGCCACTGATGCCCTCATTTCCTGGGTGCACGGGGATTTTCCTGCTGTTTCAACAGCTAAGGCTTGTAGGTCTTTTCTCCAGAGCTGATATGCAAAGGGACCTGGGAGTTGGGTGGTAGGGAGGCAGCCTTTCTCTTTGGTGCACCAGCAAGCCTGTGGGGTTTTCCTTGGGGTGGAGTAGTTTTGGATCTCATCTGTGAACCTTGGGATATGACCTTACCTAGAGAAGGAATAAACTCTGAGGTTACATGTCAGTCCACATCACTGAGAGACATTTTACACATGCACATATGCACACATACTCTCAGGTGGGTCCATTTGTCATGACAGGTCTCACAGAGACTTCTAGAAAGTAAAGGCAAAACAGTCCCAAGATCCTACTGAAAGTCATAAGTATAGATGAGCTGCCACAACACTCTGACCTTGGATCCTGGTCCCCACCACAAGTAGAATGGCCAAAGTGCCTTCTGTACCTCATAATTTCTTCCCTTGGGAGGAAGAGAAACTATATAAGAGATACAGACAGTGAGGGCTGGAAAAGATACGGGGTGGACTTGAGCTATTCTTTGGGGGCTCCTCAGACTTTGTTGGAACCCTATTGCATAGGAAGTGAAGGGGAAACAAGCCAGGGTAGGTGTCAGATCTGACAGGGTTGTTCAGATGAGATCAGTGCCTTTCTACATAACCTCACTTATTTCCTATGTAAGTCTGCTTGAATCTTTCCTACCTAAATACAAGTTCATGACAGTGGCCTGGCCTATGATAGAGGTTGCTTTAGTTCTGAAGTTTTTGCATTTTCAGTGGTTCCAGGCTATCAGGCTTGGAACAGGGATGTCTGACAGTTGGGACTGTCCTTGGGAGCAAGGAGGGATGTATGGGTTCAAGGGACAGCTTCGATTTTTTTTTTTCATGTGGGAGAGGTTTAAGCTCTGTTTTATTCCCATGCAAGGAGACTGCAGTACATAAAACAGATAGTGGCCCTTGAGCAGATGTGAAGGAGCAGGGCTTGGTTGGCAGGAGCAAGGTAAAGAGCACAGGAGAGCTCATCCCATTTAGCAAGAGGTGAGAGGAAAGGATGGGGGATTAGGGTTATACAGATGTTTGGGGACAACAAAGTGAGGGAGTCTTTAGTGGCTTCTATTTTGTCTATGAAGTGTGAGGCAAGGTCTTGTTCTATGAGTAAGATGATCCAAAGAGAGCTGAGAACGTCTATGATGGCACTGGAAAAGACTGCTACAAATGGTAGAGATATGCAGGAAAGTTACCAGGAAGAAGCAAGACCTTCCTGAGTTTAGGAAATGATGTCTGATCTCCACACCTCTCCTTTCCATGGTTAACTTCTAGGTATTAAAGTGCCATGATACTCCTTCCCCAAATTAGACTGGGGTGGGGGGCATTTCCAGAACTGAGCTCAGCCCAGGAAGGCTACTGGCTTGGACCGGCTTCCATATAGGAGCTCAGGATAACAGCTGGGCCTGCAGCTCCCTGACCTGGGTTTATAGCTCATCAACAGCTATTCACAGTGGGGTTCTTGGGCTTAAGCTTATGGTTTGTCCTACTAGATTTTGCTATAGAGATTCACAGCCCACGAGCCCGGTGAGCTTTACTCTGTAAGGTTGTCTGAGAGGTGCCAGTTTTGTATGCTGGAGACTGAGATACTCAACTCTATCCTTAGTCTGCTATCCCTTTAGTGACGTCGCCAACATAACCTGCAGAGGTTGTTTGTCAGTAGTGCTATGTGACCATGAAGCACTCACTCATTGTCACCATTATGTCTAACTTAGGGAGAACTAGTCAGAGCCAGCACTTCTACCCATTAGACACCAAGGCTCAAACAATTCAATAATTGCTTTCACCCAGATTATGGATGGTGACACCAACATGGACCACAGGGTATGCTTGAGCTTACAGTACTCTTGGGCACTCTCTTGCCCCAAAGAGCAACCCCTTTTTCTGCATCTAGAGGCTCCACCATCATATCCTACCTGCCACCCTCAAGACATGGTCCTCCAGGTACTATCCCTAACTTTAATATGGAACCATCCAAACAGGAAGATTTTAAAACTCTCTAGAAAAGAACATCCGGTGTTCTTTATTATTTTGACATTTAGTGAGCTTGAGTTCCTGGAAGTGTGGTGGGTCATAGACTTAAGATGGATCACCTAGTTTGCAGTTGGTGAGATTCTCAAATAGACAGTGATGACATCCTTAATGCTGGGGAAGACTCACTGGATAAGACCAGCCTCATCCTGAGGAATCAAATCAGGTATCTCAGGTCTGGGCATGTTGCTCTAGATAGGAAGGTGGTAGAAAGAAAATTTTTGCCTGACTACCTGCCCCCATTGAACCTTTCTCACCCTGCCTCAGAGGCCTCCTGGACTGTTGAAACTATGCCATGTGATTCTCACCCAAGCAAAGAAAAGATGCTAGGAAGCTTCAACGTGGAAGCTGAGAAGCTGGCCTTTAGGCACCCTGTCTCCCTTATCTTGCACAGTAAGTCTTTCCTGCAGCCAAGTAGGCACAGTCCCATCCTCACTTCCACCTCCACAGGAATAGGTATGAGTACAACATAATACTAGGCTGTGGCACCTCCTCTGATTCAGCCCAGTTCCTTTAGGCCAAAGCCAGGCTGGAGAAAGGGATCAATAGTCTCAGATACAATAGCAAAGCATCCAGGGAAGGGTTTGGGTCTGTAGATCAAGCACAGAAGTGGGTAGGTCAATGTGTGATGAGTTCATTGTTGACTAGCTTTCTGAGCTAAGCCAGTTGTAGATTAGGACAGAGCAGAGCCTTTTGCCTACAGAGCTGGTTAACTGCTGCACTCAAGCCAGATGAGCACACACATTGCTGCCCATGTGACTTTGATGGCTACTGTGAAACAAAGGTGACGGGGAGAGGGAGGAAAAGGGCTGGTGTGGAATGGAACTAGCTGTGCTGAAGCTTCTCTGGGAAGGATCAAGAAACTGTTCAGTGTGACAAAGGAGAGAATGAGGTGGATAGGGAACTACAGCACCTTTGATTTGCATCTGCAGAGTCCAGTGAGGGCCTGAAGCTCCACTCCTTTCCTCTGCATGCTCTACCCACCCACCCCACTCCTAGTCTTTCATTCTGGTTGATGGGGGCGAATCTACTTTCAGCCTCAAGTTTCTTTGGATAGCTCTGGTTCAGCACTTTGCTTCTCAAATCCTATGGTTACCGCCCCCTCTACTTCCCACTTCCCAGGAGATCCTCAGCCTAGATCTGACAATATATTTTCAGAGCTAAATCAGACTCCTCCTTCAACCCTACTTGAACTCAAAAGTTAAATTGAAGGAGATGTGCTAGCAGGAGTTAAGGTACTGAAATTACATCAGGATTCTGAGGCCCATTGAGGTAGGATTTTAGTTCTATGTCCTTCTACACAAAAAGTGAAATTTCTGCAGAGTGACCTTACCTATTTTGTCCTTAAAGGATGACTTAGGGAAGATAGTTCTGCATGATGGTGTAAGCTTTGTGACCTCTCTGCCTGTGGTCTCTTTCCATCTGGATAACGGCCCCTCCTAACATGCATGTGTGAGTGTGCTTGAGAGAGCCAGATCTTCCCTTGCCACACTCTTCTACTTCCAGGTGGATGTGAATTTTCAAGTGCCTTGCTCAAATATTCTGCATGCTCCAGTCTATGGGACAATGAGAACTGAGAGTAAGGCGGGAGATCCTGAGGTTAAGCCATGACTGGAGCAAGCTTGGCTTCTGTGACAGAAGTGAGATGGGCAGGATGAACTCTGTGGACCATAGATCCTACAGGGTCATGTAGGATGCTAATGCACCTGTGGTAAGAATCTCTAGCCTAGATCTGGTGGATTCTATTTGTAAAGGAACATAGAACTCTTTAGGGGAGAGGGGGACTTCAGGATTATAAAACTCTCAGGGAGTAACCAGAGCTGTGGACTAAAAGCTCTGGTGGGACCTCCATGTTTACAGATTTGGAGATACATGAATTTACTATATAGGACCAGAACACCCCTGGGCTTATCATAATCATGGTGTTAACTCATAACCCTCTGTGAATCAAAGTGTTTCAAAGCCTTTTGAATGCAAATGAACCTGACTTTCAAGTGGTTAAGTGTGAAGAGAGAAGTGTGTGTCATTAGACATAAAGAATGGATCCTGAATTTTCTGAGTGCTCAAACACTGGGCTCTTACTGCACCCATTGTCTAAGAGAAAAGTCCAATGATGTCTGTGGGTTCAGAGAAAGGGTGGTCAAGACTCCTCATTTGGCCATGGAGAAGCTTTGAAGAGCAAGGAGTAAGGCATGCATTCCAGAACTGTGGACCCTAACTGCGTCTTCAAGAGCATCCTGTCAGTGTGGCGCATACTACCAAACCAGACTTTGGTAAGTATTACCTGAGGAGGCCTCAATAGGGACCTGCGTAGCCAGCTTGCCTTCAAGAGCTCTCTTTCCTTTGGTTTCTGTTCCTTCATATGGTTACCATGGCAATGAAATGAAGCTTGGTTCTGCCTTTGGGAATAGCATTGGAGCAAGTGGCCTATTTTCCTTAAAAATATACTTTCTTCTCTTGTCTCCAAAGTTCATTATCCAATGAGAAGGACAGGGGCCCAGATTGGTAAAGGGTAAAGTGACTTCAATGCTTTAGTGCTGTCACATATAGCCTGGCAAACCTCCTTTTACAGACTTCTGAA